AGTAAGGTATTTCTGGGGGTAGTGAATGAAGACCAGCCCAGCTGAAGCAGAAACTAGAAAGCACTGAGAAATAGCGTTAGAAAGGTCAACTGAGATTCTAAAGCAGAAGATTCTAAATTTTTGACTTATTCGAGACAAGGGGCTATAAATGATTTTAAGCAAGAGGTGTTACAAGAGCATTACTGTAGGAAAATTAATCTGGAGGCATATAAGAAGAGAGCAGAAGCAAGGAAAAAAACATAATGTATTAAGGAAATAAACCTCCATGATACTTGTTAATTTATGGAAGTTTTCACCCATCATTTTTATAAGTAAAATTTGAAAATAACATCATTACCTTCTAGCTTGAGATTTATCCCTCCACATTCTATAATTCCAATGAACTTGCCTTCTATCTGACCATTTTTATAAACAAAAATCGTTGGCAAACAATTGTCATGGTAGTGTTGAATACAGCTATTCACGATGGCTTTAACAAATTTAGTTTCTGGAAACTTTCTTGCTAGAAGACTAAGATGCTGGTTAACCAACAAACACATTGGAATGCTAAAAAGAGAAATAGTACACACAGTGTCTTTAGGAAACAGACTTACTCATCTCAGTCTAATAAAATAAGTAAAACATTCCCATGGCAAAAATACATCTTAGATAGTTTTTGATATAAAAGCATATCATTTTCATCCTCTGTTGTTACCTTTAGCAATGAGGACTATTATGTAGAGTCCTCTGACTTTCACTGCAAACACTATTATAGCCTGGGAATGAAGCTAGCTACGACGGGAATGTGATGCCTAACTTAGGCAGACTACGTCCAATTAGCATCAGTTTAGTCCAAGCCAGTGCCCAGTTTGTAGGTCACCGGAAAACAAAACAAAACAAAAACAAAAACAGGGCACTTCTAGGGAGTCCTTGGCAGTTCTGAGTTGAAACAAAGCAATCCCAACTCTTGTCACCATTGTGAGCTTATTTCCACATAATGAGATTACCACATCCAAAGTTTCTGGTTTCAGACTTCCCTGACTTTCCTGACTCCAGCAAACTTCTTCATCTGCAGTCTTTGGCATCCCATTCCGTGCCATATCCTAGTCCATTATCCAGAACTATTCTTCACCAGAAATTTAAAATTGATTGGAAATATGACCCAAACCTCTATTCTTCCTGCTCTAGCATTTAACTCCCATTACACCCATATTTCAGTCAGTCCCTTGTCTCTCAGTCTGTCATTCACAGCTTTATTGAGTCTTTATTTAGTCTCAAGGCTAATCCCTTCACCTCTACGTTATTCCACACTCCTTCCATTTTCTGTGGAACCTTTCTCTGTTGGTTATTCTGCGTCCCTCTTTTCCTATTTTCTTATCTTTCCTTCTCTAAAGACTCTTTCTCCTCCATTTTGCATAAACAAGTTACTAAATCTTAAAAAAACAAAAATCCCTTACAACTCTGTCCTTCTATTAATAATAATTACTTTCTCTCCTAGTCACAACCCCAATGAAAAAGAAAAAAAATCTCTATGTTTTGCTCACCTCCCTTCTTGAACCACTCTCCCCTTCTGGCTTCTGTGATAACACTTTCTATCAATTTCCTTTTTGTCTTTCTGACTTCCTTCTTCTGTCTTTGCCTCAAATCATGATCCTTATGATTATATCCTGACCCTCGTCTCATTCTAGACACATTCACTGAGCCATCTTAACCGTTCCAATATCAATTCCTGATGGATTTCATTTTCCCTCCTTCCCCACCAAAATATCTGACCTTTGTCCTATGTTTTCTTAGGTTGCCACTCGGTACAAAAATCTCCCTTTCTTCTACAATGTCTAATCAGTAATCAAGTCGTATTGATCTTACCTCCTTATTTCATATCTTTCCTCTCCTCAATTTGCCTTTGGCCTAACTCCTCTCCTTTCTTATCTGAGCTACATCAGATTGCCCCAAATGGCCTCTGTGTACAGTCTTGGCTCCCCACATTCATCCTTGGCCCTGCTTACAAAGGGAGCTCAGCATAAGCATCTCACAGGGTAACCCTACGACTCTGTCCCTCCCCCAACCTTAAAACCCCTCCAATGGCTGCTTTTAGGATAATGTCTGGATTCCTCAGGTGGCCTTCAAGAGTCTCCAGGGTCTGGACCCTGCCTACTTCTCCAGCATGATTCTCTGTCTGCCACCATATTGCACCACATGCTTTAGCCAGATCAAATTGCTTAAAGCCCCACAAAGCACCATGATGGCTCTTAACCTCCATATCTTTATTCAAGCTACATACTCTGTCTAAATACCCCATTCATCCTATATACTTCCTTTAACCCTATATACCTGGGGAAACTTTTCCTGTTTTTTGATGCCAAGACCAAGAATGACCTACCCTATAGAACTTTCCATACTTCCCTACTCCAAAAGTAGAACTTGCCACTCCTGTCTTCAGTGCCTTTCCTCTACTCTGTGTAGACTTCAACCATAGAACCTAAAAGACTTTATTATTATATTTAATTGTCTCCTTCTAGTATGTTGAAATGTACATAATGTCAGAGACAGCCTTTGCATCCACAACAGCTACAAAATTCTCAGAGATCCTCTTAATCCTAGCTGATGTTATATATCAGTTTATGGAGAAAGAGGCTAAGAAAAGCAAATTAAATGCAGTACTCGTTTAATTTACATTTCAGAATATATGTATATCATTTCTGTGGACAATTATAACCTGCTACCAATCTAGATACTGCTTTATTTTAGTTGGTGGCCTACTGAAAGTAATACTAGAGAAACACACACCGCCCAATTTAAGTACCAGTTTTCCACACGAAGCAATGACATAAATTGACTTTGTGAGTTTAAATTGTCCACAAATAGGTTAAATGAATCCACTAATACCTAATTCAGAGAAATTTTATCATTACTGTCAGGATGAAAGCTCGGTCAGTGGTATGACAGATACCTATGAGGAGGGTCAGTAGTGCAAATAGCAGAAGGCAGGCGGGCATTGGTGGTAGCTGTGAAAAGGATGCAGTTGAGAGAGTTGGCTTAACAAATTATGGTGCAGGGGGAGAGGGGTCGACTGACAACAGTTCTGACAGCAATTGATAGGGGGAACAAATTTGGTGTTGGAGTCCAGGGGCCAGAATTTTTAACCCCAGAAGAGCTGTAAAATACAAGGCAGACCTCTGACATCAGCAAACAAGTTAAGGGCCTATTTATGGTGTTCGGGGTTCAAAATATGCACTTAGGTATAGGAATAATATAAAAGCCCCCAACTAGAATTCAGGTACAAGTATAAGATTGAATAAAACCAGAAACAAGACTGACTTCAAGCTGAGCCATTAGGCTCAGTGGCCTAGGTTGAGTTAGATTCCTCTAAGGCTGTGGTCCCCAACCCATGGACCACCAACCAGTACCGGTCCATGGCCTATTAGGAACCTGGCCACACAGCAGGAGGTGAGCAGAGGGTAAGTGGTAGAAGCTTCATCTTTATTTACAGCCACTCCCCATCCCTCTATCCCTGGTCCATGGAAAAATTATCTTCCATGAAACTGGTCCCTTGTGCCCAAAGTTTGGGGACTGCTGCTCTAAGGCACCTTAAGAGGGCTGAGCTTTCATTTGCATGAAAACTAGGCCTAATCCTATTAATTTAATGGCAAAGAGCCATTAAAATTATAAAACTTAAGAGCCTAGTAAAAAAACTATCACCCTCCTATAAAATATATAGAAGGTAGCTAAAAACACAAATTTGTTTAACAGTTGTACTTCACTTTATGATATTAAAAAGTTATGAGAGAGCTGGGTGCATGGCATGTGCCTATAAACCCAGCTACTAGCAAGGCTGAGGCAGGAGGATTGCTTGAGCCCAGGAGTTTGAGTTCAGCCTGGGCAACTTAGTGAGA